GGAACCGAGCAAGTCCCCCCTCATATGAACACATCAAAAATTTTACAAAGGATTCAGATCAAGCGAGATCTCGGAAACCGGGAAGCCCGGTCAACCGGACTGTAACACTGGGGCGGTTGGTCTATCAAAGTAAGCTGTTCAGTGGATAATGCCGGTCACGTAACTTGTAACAAATCTTTCAAAGGAATGAAAGAAGAGATATAAGAAGAGTGATACATCATACGTAAATTTCTATTATAACATAGCTAGAAAATTCCCCTAATCAAATTCAGTAGCGCGAGCGTGCTTCATATTCCTATTGAGCACGCTGATGACATCAATAACTTAGCAATCCTGAGTCTCCTGAGTGCATCCATAACTCGGCAGTACACGATAAAGCGTTTACCATATGTTTTATAAGGAAATTTAAGAGGAAACGTTTGAATTTGTTAACCGATAGTAAGGAAAAGAGGTAAGTGTTGTTGTTGTTGTTGTTGTTGTTGCCATCTCCACCAGCTGTGCGGGCTATGGCGTGAGATCATTCTTTGCAAAGTTGTTTTCTCTCAATGACAATTTTTCGGTGAATTAATAGTTTTCCGGCACTTAAATATGGATTTTACAATCATTTTAGAGTATACTTTCTCTCAGTTTCAGGATAAAAACATAAGCTTAACTGTGAGGAAAAAAAATATACGCACAAACATTGACGCGTACTGCTTTGAGCGCGCCCTACAATAATATAATTTTAAGTTAACTGGTGCGTTGATCGCTTTGATAATGTTATAAAACAATTAGTTCATGCTGCAGCTGTGCGTATGTCGAGATATTGAGCACTTGGGAAGTTTGGAGAGCACTCAAGAGGCTAGAGTTGCACTCGGCTACGCCTCGTGCAACTCTTACGCCTCTTTCGTGCACTCCAAACTTCCCGCGTACGCAATATCTCGACATACGCACACTGACGCATGAACTAATTGTTAATTAATGCAGTTGGGAAGGATTTGCTAAATATGTTGCCCCATTGCGCAAACTTAGGGCCTGGGGCCCGTTTCTCGAAAGTCCCGGTAACTTTTCGGGCCCGTAATCAAATATTCAAATCGAAATATAAAGAATAAGAGCGCGGGTCCTGGCTAGCAGACTACTCCATTGTGTTTCACTAACTGATGGTTTTATCATGCTAGATGCAAAACTATTGAGACCTCGATCTTTAATATAAACGGCGACAGTTTACCGGGCCCATATCAAAAAGAGCAAACTTAAGTAATATTTACCCGATGTAAATCATTCGCAGTATTTATTTCTAGGCCATTTGTGATCTGCCCTCAGATCGGTAACGGAAGTTTCATAAAAATAGCGGACACCAGTTCACTTTAGTTAAAAGGAACAAAACTGACCTGCAGTGAGAAATGATCATGTAGGACTTTAGTTTAGGTCCCTCCCGAGACATTGATTGATTGTTTCCATAGTATAAGGCGACAAGCAAAAATATACCGTAACCTTCTATACCCACCCTCTCTGTGGACATAGCAACATTGCATTTTTTGGACACTTATTTCAGCGAAATGATTATGGGAAAACAATTCGAGTCCCCAAAACTTGCCATGGACACCAAAAAAATGGTAATTTACCCACTTAACGTGGAATGAGTGTTTTGCATTATCTTTATAATCATTTACTTCCGTCCAATCTAATCGTTTTAGTAAACGGAACACTATCTGCAGTTTATATTCATCAGTTATTCATTGGTATGGCATAAATACCAGGGCCGATCTTTGTTCAAAGCTGGGTTAAGATAACCCAGGGTTAGTGCGAGATTAGAATTCAGATTTGAAAGCTTAAAAAGCATTTCAGCTTTAATTCTTTTTGTCGACAAGTTGATGATTGGAAGCTCTAAAAATAGCACGGAAAATCATCCAAGAAAATGCTTTTGAACACAAGAAAAAGAAACCCGGGTAAAATTTAACCCCGGGTTAAGCACTGATCGGCCTTCGAACAACTGGGCCCAGGGTAATTTTAATTTCTAACTATTGACTTCATAGGGAAAATGCCAGCCAATGAGAACGCGGGACATGCCCTAAAAATAGTGTTAAAATTTTAGGATCTTGTATCGAAATTGGTGCTTTTGTTTTGCAATGGGAGGTATAGATAAAATCGCAAAGAAATGAAAAAAAGCCCTTGAAACACATCAACTTTATTAAAAGCACCATTTTTTATCAATCGACACAACTTAAATACGGCATAAAATATTATGAGGTTTTTAGTTTCTGTTTTTTGTTCTGTTTTTATATGTTTTGATTTTGCTGTTGTTTGTTTGCTTTTATTTGTCGTTTTTCTTTTTTTTTTTGTCTTTAAAAAAGAGGGGTTGTAAGTCCACTTCATTATAGTCCAAAATAGGGTGACTTGGTCTATAATTCACAAAATATCCAAAGATATGTTTGTGTTCTTGACAATATTTTGGAGTACAATTTAACAACTTCAAGAAACAGTGTTTCCAACAACAAAAGCGTTCCAAGAAGTATCTTTAAAAAATCACATTTTTTATTCGCTTTTTCCTGTTCTTCTTGCTTTACAACCACCTGTCAGTTTTACGTCAAATACTTGGCAATGTGGACGCGTCTGCTTGTAGAACTAATTAAAAACCCGCTGTTGCAAGTGAGTTTTATTCGACATTAGCGTTCTTTCAAAGGATCTTTAACTTTGCGGTGAAAATAGGTAAGAATGACTTGAAATATGTTTAAAAGGTGCTAGTTATGCAAAAAAATTGACTCTTCTTTTCCTTTCCCTCGCTAACTGAGGTACGATGTATTTAGAAACTGTTTAGATGAATACTTTTAATAATAACGGTGGTTAAAATATCACTAAGGTGATTGAATTTTCAGTTGAAGTTTTCTTTATCTAACGCTTCAAATATCAGTAGAGGATCTATAAACAATAATTAGACGTTATTACGAATCGTAGACAAATCACTCAGGGAATTGCTTGCCGTTGTTGTTAGAATATTCTCACCTATTTTCAGAGCATTAATTTTTCTATACTTCTTTTAATTTTATTTCGTCAGTTTTTTCTAGGTTGTATTTTGTGGTTCAGTTTTTGTACACCTCCCACGATTCAAGATTTTGGTAAAGAATTCATGGATGTGTTTCAGCACAGCCTTGAAGAAATAAATCTAACCGGTTTTTGAGCGATTAACATAAACATCAATAACCATAATGATTCCTTTTCTTAGCACATGTATTATGATAATACATTTGAAATCGCATTATCGAGTGGACAAACGCAATTGGCAAAGACGGATTTTTCAATGACAGCAACTGCTTTTCAAGCGTTAATTCATACTTCTGCTAGTCAAACTAACAATTTTCTTATTTTAGTTTGCTTACAGTTTCAAAAACGGCAAGTAAGATGTTAATTATTTAAGAGGAAAGCTGTTTTGTCGTGGATGATACAACTTTGCGCCTGTATAAACGATACCGTATGTGAAGGGGGATTTCTCCATATTCTACAAGAGCTTTTATCTTGCGAGTTTGAAACCAACAAAGATATTGCTGTGAAAATAGCATTTCTCTTTCATAAAATTACTCTATCACAACCTCACTTTCAGCAAAGAAATGATTTATTTTACAAAATGAAATAAAAAAGAAAATGAATATAAAATGCCAAACAAATTGAACAGTTGCTAATTACACTTCCTGCAGCTTTAGTTGGTTTATTCTTACTAGTTATAATTAACGCTTCTTCACGCAAGCCCGGTTGACCGCGCTAGCCAGGTTACCGGGACCAATTTCGCCTTAGGTTCTCATGAGAAACTTCAGCACGGTTTCCGAGACGAGAAAAGGCCCAAAAAAGCGAAACAAAATAATTTCAACAACTTTCGCGCCTATCATAGCATTGGCAACACTCAAGGCTATATCAGTGCAGTTAAATGGAAAGCTTATGATGTTGAAAATATGCAGGCAATGCAAGACGATACCATCCGAACGGCCAGAATTTATCCCGCTTTCATCCTGGTAACCGCGGGTTGAAGTGCTCACATGGCAAAATTTCCAGCCAGCTCTACAGAGATCCTGGTTGGAAAAACCGAGATCTCGGAACCGAGCAAGTCCCCCCTCATATGAACACATCAAAAATTTTACAAAGGATTCAGATCAAGCGAGATCTCGGAAACCGGGAAGCCCGGTCAACCGGACTGTAACACTGGGGCGGTTGGTCTATCAAAGTAAGCTGTTCAGTGGATAATGCCGGTCACGTAACTTGTAACAAATCTTTCAAAGGAATGAAAGAAGAGATATAAGAAGAGTGATACATCATACGTAAATTTCTATTATAACATAGCTAGAAAATTCCCCTAATCAAATTCAGTAGCGCGAGCGTGCTTCATATTCCTATTGAGCACGCTGATGACATCAATAACTTAGCAATCCTGAGTCTCCTGAGTGCATCCATAACTCGGCAGTACACGATAAAGCGTTTACCATATGTTTTATAAGGAAATTTAAGAGGAAACGTTTGAATTTGTTAACCGATAGTAAGGAAAAGAGGTAAGTGTTGTTGTTGTTGTTGTTGTTGTTGCCATCTCCACCAGCTGTGCGGGCTATGGCGTGAGATCATTCTTTGCAAAGTTGTTTTCTCTCAATGACAATTTTTCGGTGAATTAATAGTTTTCCGGCACTTAAATATGGATTTTACAATCATTTTAGAGTATACTTTCTCTCAGTTTCAGGATAAAAACATAAGCTTAACTGTGAGGAAAAAAAATATACGCACAAACATTGACGCGTACTGCTTTGAGCGCGCCCTACAATAATATAATTTTAAGTTAACTGGTGCGTTGATCGCTTTGATAATGTTATAAAACAATTAGTTCATGCTGCAGCTGTGCGTATGTCGAGATATTGAGCACTTGGGAAGTTTGGAGAGCACTCAAGAGGCTAGAGTTGCACTCGGCTACGCCTCGTGCAACTCTTACGCCTCTTTCGTGCACTCCAAACTTCCCGCGTACGCAATATCTCGACATACGCACACTGACGCATGAACTAATTGTTAATTAATACAGTTGGGAAGGATTTGCTAAATATGTTGCCCCATTGCGCAAACTTAGGGCCTGGGGCCCGTTTCTCGAAAGTCCCGGTAACTTTTCGGGTCCGTAATCAAATATTCAAATCGAAATATAAAGAATAAGAGCGCGGGTCCTGGCTAGCAGACTACTCCATTGTGTTTCACTAACTGATGGTTTTATCATGCTAGATGCAAAACTATTGAGACCTCGATCTTTAATATAAACGGCGACAGTTTACCGGGCCCGTTAATTATCGGGACTTTCGAGAAACGGGCCCCTATTTACATGGAGTAGGGGACCCCGGTCTAGTGGGGTTGGCTTCTTTTGTTTTCACGCTCTGGGGGACACAAAACAAAAGAAACCTACCCCACTAGACCGGGGTCCCCCACTCCATGTAAGCAGAGTCTTAATCACACAGGTGTTTCTTGTACGGTCATGTTTATTCCAAAAACATGATGTATTAAATTAGAAACTTGCCGGCTAACGGTGCACCGATACAGAGACAATGACCTAGCTTAACCTGCGTAGCAGTCGCAAAGAGAAAAAGGGAGAGCAATCAAACAACGTGTTGCAGTGAAAGGCTAAACACGAGTCATAAGCTCGTGATAAAGTGAAACGTGACCTTAGAGTTTGCTTCAACAAAGAGAGGTTTTTTCTCTATTCTCTTTAGCGCGTAGGTCAGTACAGTAGCATTCTAAACTGGCCTTGACTGAGTAAATCTTATTTTTGCCCCACTAAGTCTTAAAACCATAACCCTCTCTCCCCGCCCCTAGTTACACTCCTCCTTTTTTTCCTTCCTCCCAATCTCCTTACCCTTTCTACGCCTGGTATCTTTTTTCTTACTCTCAGATCACAGCTGGTAAATACAATGTCCACAGAACAAACGATAGATTCAAATCATGACAGCGCCGAGGTTTGCATTAGGCGTCTCTCAAGAAAACTGTCGGAAGTGGAAATTGTGATGGCAACACAGGAGGGTAAAGCAAATCAGATGAAAAAGGAGAGAGATGCAGAGAGGAGTGAAAACGAACAGCTAAAAAAGGAAGTGAGAAGGCTGAATAATGAGCTTCTAAAAGAAAAAACAATTTCGGCTGCATTGATAAAAAGGAATTGTAAAGAGGAAAACGATAAGGAGATCACAGATGGAAAACAAGAGAAAGGTAATTTATTGCGAAGAGTAATTTACTACAATCCCTAACAGTACTTGAGATTTAGAAATCAGATAAAAACAGCGAGATTTGGCAACCTTTTTTTAATTATTTTTTTGTGCCTGACATGTGAAATAAAACATAAATAAGTACTTTGCTTCATTTTTTCCACAAACTTTATTTTGACGTCATATCTCGTAACCATAGAAACTGATCATTACTAAACTTGTCTCAAAATGCGTGTGAGAGATGAACGAACAGCTACTGAAAACGTCAGGTGCTAATGTTTAATCGTCTAGGTAACAACTCCGAAAAAACCTCTTCCGAGGGTTAAATTTGCTTCCAAGCTCCGAGCATCTTCGAATAGCTTGGCCCTTCAGTGAAGCCAAGACATGTATATTCGTTTCCAGCTGTAACACAAGCACTAGAGACCCTACGGGTTATAGCAGGCAAATATGTTCCCCATGCCAGTGTCAGTAGGTGTTCCAAACAAATCCTTAGGAAGTTGAACCTTTTTTTTTTATATGTAAAAACTATCTTTTGACTCAACGCATCTGCATCACGGATGCTGGCCACGTGAAAACACTCTATACCGAAACGGATTGTAACTTGAAGCCTCTACTTGTAACGACAACTGTAATAACATGGCTTGCACATAAAAATGGATTAAGCCCTGGGTCCAGTTATTGTCGATGAATAAATTTCTGTAGCCAAATAGATATTTTAGAGTAAGTCTTACAATAAAAAGCTTCAGTACTTTACTTGTAGCCTCAAAAATCTTCAGGTGAGACAAATTGTTCCTTTTTGATATCTTAAGAGATCAGGAAGTTTCCCGTGGTGGACTTCCCTGCATTGAAAAGAGATCTGACTGGGGATGCTCGTCGTTTCCCGTAGGGGTAGAAAGTACAGATTTTGGTCTTACTTAGGGTGCTCAGGACCTGATTAATTGTCAATTTTTACTTACTTAGGGCTGTAAGTAGCGAAATATCCACATAAACATTGGCAAATATTGTCACACTGTGTTGGAGTAGGGTCTTCTTTTAAGATCAAATAAAGGCTTAAACCACGCCCAAATTGGTCTCGCTCCTTTAAGGGTATTACCAAGCATCTCAACCACCTTTACTTGGGAGTACCACCCTCCCCTCCCCGAAAAAAGTTTGGAGGCTTACGCAGTTTTTTGCCTATAATCAGGTAACGACGATTTTGTGCCTTCCCAAACACGTAGAGGAAGCTTACCAGTTTCATCACTGTGGAAACCATTTCAGCGAAGAGGCCCCCAAGACTTCACCAAAGATTTGAGAAAGTTGCTGGACCGGAGAAGCAACGAGTTACTTCAGCAAAAGCAGCAGTACCGGATTTTTGAACACAGGTTTAAACAACAGGCTGATAGATGCATTAAAATGGATGGCGACCTGGAACGCCTAGACCAACTGCTGGTCGAATTACTTGGGCTGCACGCAAAGTGTCATGGCTGCTCTATTTTTCAGCACAATAAGATCGTTATCTTAGGAAAGAAAATAGAACTCCATTGCACCAAGTTGATTATATCCTGTATTGCAATGGTTCTAGTGGTGTTATATATTTTCTTTTCATAGGAAAACTAAGTGAAAATTAACACCGTGGCATTTCCACGAAATTGTTGCTCGTTGAAACGGTGCTTAATGGATTTAATTAACTAAGACATAACGCTGGGAAAGAGGAAGAACACGTCATAGTTTAGTTCACTTGGTAACTACCGTTAGAATTAATAGTCATTTATGATACAGTCAGGCATTTACCAGATCAGCCCGAAAGGAGCAACTTTTTTAGGCTTCGTTCAGGTATAAATGAATGAAATGTTAGGAAATTCATAAGTTGCAATATGTGAAAGGATAGGATAATCTAACATTAGATATTATGAGGGTCTTTAATTAAAAATGTTGGAAAATACGTGCCCTGTGTTTATGTCATTTTATTTTATTAAATGTTAAACGAAAATTAAAATGACAAAAATACTTCCCGTTTTAGAGATTTTGTTCTTATTAAGTATGTACGTTGAAGGGGTGTACCATGAATAGAAGGTACAGTTGAACACTCCACAACGGTCACCTTGGGGACAGAAGAAAGTGACCGTTGTAGAGAGGTTTCAAACAAGAGTCAATGTATGGACTGTCTGCCAGAAATGTGGCCGTTGTAGAGAGGTGGCCGTTATTAGAGGTTCGACTGTTTACGAAAGGGGTACTTTTTTCTGTCAAAAATGGTATGGTTGAACCTCGGGGCGGAGTCTTCCCGTAGAAAACATTATTGAGTAACCCCCCTACCCCAGCCCCGAGCAATAGACATATCTTAGTTTCACAGATCAACTCACTTTTTTCGCACTCAAACGGTTTGTTAATAACATATTTTTTAGTTACTTTCATTTTTCAGGGGCACCCAACGTCAATTTTCGGAAAATATCTGTTCGGAAGACGATTTGAGATCTAGAATTTTCGGAACATTTGTTGTAAAATTCCTTGCTTGCCTGTCTCTCCAAGGATTTTCGAACATCTAAAGAATAGTATAATTGGCCATTTTTAACGGATTTTTTTGCCTAAAAAGAACACCTGGAATTTTCGGGAGCCTTTTTTTTCTGGCTGAATTTTCGAAAAGGTAAGTTTTGGTCCCTATAATTTTCGGATCACTAGACGTTCACCTAGGAAATCCGAACTGATAAAAAAAAATTAGGAGATAAATTTATGCCTATATCTACCGTAGAATGCTAAAATACGTTTAACAATGCAATGTTTAAGTGGTTTTGAACCATATTCTCGTTGGTTGCCCCCGATGTTTTTCTTATTTGACAACGGCGGTTATTACTTGGTAAACATTCATGTCAACTATGTCAGCGAGTGTAGTACAGACATGAAGGGCCTCTAGGAACTCAAAGAAGCAGTTCAACGGCCTGAGAAAACAGCGGACATTTCACTACGCCACCGCTGGTTACCCCGCGAAAAAACGTCTGAGAAACGCGTCACTATCTAGCCCGTTCCAGGCTCTCAGATAGTGCGGAAGAGGCAAAAGAGTGGGGAAGACGCGAAAGTGGAAGGTACGCGTTTTATTTTCATAATCCCCTCGGACCCGACTATCTCGGAGCCTAGAACAGGCTAGTCACTATCAAGATGTGGGTGTTAGTGCTTCAGATTGGTCGCGTCTGGTCGGACATTTGCTTCAACCAATCAGAGGCACTATCCAGATCTGGCACGAGTCGATGGAATATCTCCGTTCGTTCCTCAGAACACATTTCGCGGGGAAACCAGAGTGGTGGAGTCGTTCAAAATGTCAACTGTTTTCTCAGGCTAAGAGGTATTTCAAGGGTTACAATTTTATCAGTCACACCGTTTCATAATTTCGGGCAGTAGTCACCATAACTTGTAAAATTTATCTTTAAGATGACAGTTTCATATATAGTTTCATATGATTCAAATAAAATATCATTAAATAGATTGATAATAATAATGACAATAATAATACTAATGATGATCGGATGCATAGGGATCCCTATGGCAGTGGTGACGATTTAGTTTCATATGATTCATATGAAATATCATGATGAATGGATAATGTTAATAGACCCTTAATAAATAAGGCCACAGTTAACTTCTGCTTGTTTTATTCTAACGACATTAATAACTAAATTAATATCAATATCTAAATTACATCCATCTGACACTGATAAAAATTAAGCAACTTGCTACTGTTCTCTCCGGGCATTTTGGACCACGCTTCAAGAGAGGGTGCCGTTGAGTCCCAACGTTGAGTCGTCTGATGAGCTATCCAATGATCATTTGAAAGGTTAAATAGTCACCATAAGGTAAAACAACCAATTGATAAAATAACTCCACAAAGCAAATAAATCGACGCCGTAATAATCCTCTGCTGGAGAGGATGGCAATCTAAAACTACTGGAAACTAACAGAAAATGAAACAGAACACCTGTGACTAGAAATGTGAGCAAAAACAAAACTAACGCGCGGCAACTACAGCAAAATACTCCATATACAGAAGGTAGAGCACGCTTAAACATTCTCATAGCTTTTGCTGGTTTGCTTTCATCACCGCGAACTGAAGTTATTTCTAAGTTAGCCTTGTGTTGCAAAACAGCTTTCTCCTTATCGGTTTCATCCATTCCCGTGACTTCACGCGCCTGCGATGATCCAGCGCTGCAATGTGGACAGTCATGCGTAATGGACTCCGCCAGCTCTTGCACTCTTTTATCGAGGTTGCGTTCAGCAATTTCAAGTAACCTCTGGCTTTCACTTAAACGATCAACTTCAAGATAAACTTTTTCGAATTTAGAAAGCCCTCGATCCATCACTCCTTTTATTTTTTCAACTTCCTCACCTAAACTCTCAGAAAAATCCGCCACGGCATTAACGTGTTTAGCTGTTTTCTCGCAGGGATGATTCCTGTCGCAAGAAATGCCATTTCTTTTGATCAGTCTGTTTGTAAGCTCTTTGTTGCGTTCAATTTCTCTAATAACTTCTACTTCTTTCTCCGTTAATTGTATTTGTAAATCGTACACTTGCTGGACCAATTTTGCATTTTCTTGTTCTAACTCGATTTTTGTTTGCTGCATCTCCACCCACTTATTTTCAATTCGCAACATTGCAAGACCTGTAAAGAAAATACAATAACAAAGAGTCCAACTCGGCTTAAAAAAAACGCTTTTTGTCTAAAGCAAACGTGCATGATGGATTCCAACACACGAAATAAAATTAAAATCAGGACAGGCCAATTACAAAATTGTAAATCTTTAGCGCTTATTATGGAAGTGCATTCAGCCCTGACTGAGTCTGTAGCTAGATTATAGAAGCGCGTATACTAATGAAATAACCACAATCAAATAATCTAAATGAAACATAACAGGAGTAACATGTTTAAAAACCCTAACTGGCGAGAGGAAACCAATTTAGAAGCTATTTACAAACAGTGACAAGTCAGGCAAGCGGGCTCGGGACTGCCGAAACATATCTCCATCTAGGTTCAGTGCGCATGTACTGAAGATTGGTGTTCACCCTGAATGATACTGGGTTTTTTTTTTAACAAATAGCCACATGATATGCTAAACAACAGCAACTTCTTTAACGCCTCGATCGAAGGATTGAACCGAGTTTACCACTCATCAATATTAGTGTACCGTGAACGAGACATTAATTTTTTTTAACAACTGATTACACTCGATAGAATTAAACAATCCTCTCAACTCTCGAATGAAACCATCAGTTGTGACCCAATTGCAATGTATTAGGTCACTTACGAGTGGTACAGGGAAGTGATCCATAAAACGATCGCACCACACTGTTTCATAACGGCTCTTTCTTTTCTCCCCGTCGTTGTGTAATCCAAAAATCCATTATATTTTCCCCTTGGCGGAAATATTCAATGCGTTTTTGCATTTTGTTGAATTTTTAATACCCATACCCTGTAAACGATTAAGGGAGACTGGCAACCCAATCATTACCTATATGTCTTGCTTTATGGGCTAAGGAACTCACTTGGCTTTATGCTAGCTACAAAGCTCCTCACCTTCATTTGTCCAAACACCTGTCCACCAAATGAACAGCCCTGCCCTTTTGACTAAGCCACGAACACATTTCCTTGGCAAACCGAGCATACAATCCAGGACTGTTTGCTCTTCCTTTAGAGGTCCTAAAGACAAAATAAACATCTTACAATCAGGCTTCATAGTTGTCCAAGCCGATTCTTTTATTCCACTTAAGCGTAAAATGCTCTAATATGGCACAGGAAGGGGATCTCAAATGAGGATCGAAGACGCTGTACTTTTTCATTAATACCGAACGGAGTTGAGTGTATCAGGCACTCTCCTCACCAAAGCTCCGCGTCCATACAAGCGATTTTGCATTGATTTCGACCCTTCAGGCCAAGCCCTCAGAAACGCTTATCTGACGTGCTTCTTCGTTTTAGGATGTCTTCGGACGCTCATGTTTCTCCTTGCACCAGCGGTACTCGTAGCCAATTATCAGCTTTTCAACAAGACATGAATCTAAATATGAGTGGTTACGAACTATTTCCATTCCAACCTTGAGTAGGAGGGAGCCAGTCTATAAAATGTATACGAACATGAAGTCCCACTAGGCCGGTTTCGTGCTCTTCCCCCCCCCCCGGGGGGGGGGCTTTTCTATATATTCCAGTTTTGACAGAATAGGCACCCCTTTATATACCTTCTATTGACAACTGCATGATACCACTTTCACAAACCTATAGTTTAGAACTTTGGTCGTCTAAGTGTGCAAAACGGAACATTCATTAAATTCGTCTGTTTAGCTGATAGCCCTTGAATTGATGAATGAATGACAGATTTCGCTACTCTTTCATATACTTCAACGAGTGAAATTCCTGCATTTTCATATCCCACAGAATGATTCCTGGAGTCGGAAAAAGGAACCCGAGCTTTCAGGCGGAGCCTGCTCGTCAGTATATGGCATTATGGGGAGTACCTCTCCGATCTTCGTGCAAAGCCCCATGAAGTTAAGGGGATTCCAACCTTCCTTGACTGTTACCATAACATCGGCTGAAGTTCAATTGGAGAGACACGCACAGCCCTCGACAGTGGCAA